CCTCCTCAAGAGTGCTGTCTACTTTGCCATCACCTCCTTCTGTGTGTTTAGGAGAACAGGAGTCTGCTGTGACGGGACGAGCTCGTGACAAGGGGACAACAAAGGGGTCAATCTTCCTCTTTCATCTATTGTCCCAGAAACTCTCTACTGCAGACCCAGCCGGGCTTGCTTTCTGGGTTTGGGTTATTTCAGACATTGTGTATAATTTTCTATCATCGTGTAAGGGTTTTTCAGACCACTGGGCAGACAGTTTTCCTCTGTAACAAGGAATTCTGCCATTACTCAAAGGCATGGCCCAGGGCTCGTCCAGGGGAGCCTCTCCCACCACTGTCCCCACAATCTCATCAGCTTCTCCCCACCCCCAAGTCCTCATGCCCCCCTAAGCACACACAGCGGGCAGTTCCCTGTTTGCTCCCAAGCACCTCCACCAAGACCACAGCCCTGATCTTCCCTGTCACACACCCTGGAGATGCTGGCTTTGCTACTTGAAATAAATAAATTTCTAAAAAGAAATCAAAAGTCCCTTTTTGTCTGTGTAATTTCATGAAATCTAATCAAGGTGAGAAACAGCATGACAACAGTGATATCAAACTCAGTTCTGCTTATAATAATGGCCAACACCACATTTCTAGGTCTTTCCCTGAGACGGTGGTCATGGCGCTCTCTTTGGGGCACTGGCTCCAAGGGGACCCACAGCCAAAAGAAGGTGCCTGGGTTCCTTCTCTTTCAAAGTCAGCAGATTGAGACTCATTGGTTTGAGATGTTTCTGTGGCAACAGTGTGACTGACACCAGCCTGACTTGCACTTGTGCGTGTTCAGATCTGTAGTAGTGCCTCACAAGCACTGCCTCCTGCTCCTCACATTAGCCCCACGAGAACTGCAGCAACACCAGCGGGGCCCTGGGTGGGGGGTGAAGCATGAAGACTCTGAACTCGAGGGCCTGGATTTGAACCCTGGGTCTGCATTAGTACCCGTGTGACCTCAGGCAGCGATCTGAACTCGCAGTGCCATCATGTCCACGTCTGTGTAACAGTTACAGCTCTGGCTCCTGGAACATGAGGAGTAAGCATGTTAGTGATGCTTGGACCATGCAAGCCTTCAGCCGTATTAGCATCTACTGTCTGTAGCTCTGCTGTAAAGCCAGTAGATTTTACACATACACCGAACTACCAAGAATCATCGGTGATCTCATATCCCTGCAGACAAGTTGGACTTGTCTTAAGGGACTCAGTTTTAACAATTCACCAGGAATCCCATTAATTGTTTAAGAGCCCTCGGAGGAAGGTACAGTTAAAGTCGATAGTTTACTGATTGGAGTGATTGAGTATTCCGCTCGTGGTCACTCTTTTGTAAATAATAGTCACTTAGAGCCATGTCTCTAAGATCTCAGAGCCCATATTTTGTTTCCCAGGATCCTGTGGCTTTCCCTTGACTCATTTGCTACTGGGAAAAACAAACAAACAAACAAAAAGAAACCCCAACAAAACAGAATATGCATTGCTTCTTTGCTAAAGGCCTCCTCCAAAGAGTCCATGAGAATTTTCTTAAGGACTTGTGGGTGCATCTGCCTTCTCCTCCTGTATATTCTCGGGAATCACCATAGCTGCTCCCTCTGTTATCAACACTACGGAAACTCTGCCTGACTCTGTGAGTGTGTCTAGGTTAGTACTTGCTCTTTGGGAGTATAATGAACTGGACTGAGTCTCAGACAGAGCAAGACTGTGGATGGTGCTCTGAACATCCTGACACCCCAGCTCCTGCCCTAGACTCAGCAGACCCAGGGTCCTCAGAATCGCTGTGGAAGCCTCTTAGGTGCCCAGGTGCATTTCTGAGGTGGGAGGAAGGCATATATCAGTTTGGTCCAGTCCTTCTCCACCACAGCACAGCTACTGTGTGGTACTGGGGGAGGAACACTGGACCAGAGGTCCACCTCACACATCAGGAGTTAGAACCTTCACTTCTGGTCTGTTCTAACCAGCTGTATCATGTCTCCTTGACCACATCACGTTGCCTAAGATTTACCCATATTTAGAATCAGGTGTTCAAATTAAGTCATTTCAGATTTCTATGCAATTTACAAATTCAGTGATTAATAACCCAATGAAGTAATAACAGCAAAGGCTTTCTGGTTCTAGTCTTAGCATCTGTTAACTTATTGAACTCTCACAAGACATATGCAATGATCTGTTTTATAGATGAGAAAACTGAGGAGTTAGACCCTCCTTGTCTCCTCTCTGCCTCAGTTTCCTCATCTATAGAACAGAGTCTGGAGAATCCCCGGGACAGAGGAGCCTGACGGGCTACAGTCTATGGAGTTGCAAAGAGTCAGACACTGAAATGACTTAGCACAGACACACACACACACACACACACACACACACACACACACCCCAGAGTTAAACAGCTAATAGGAAAGAGACCTAGGATTTGAACCCAAGCAGCCTGGTTACGGGAACTCTGCTCCTAACTTCTATATTAGTTACTGCTAGAATAGATGTTTACTTTTACTTTCAATTGGAAGTTTGTATTTGCAGAACAGAAATAGAGAAACAGAAGTAGAGAACAAACATATGGATACCAAGGGGGAAAGGAAGGTGGGACGAATTAGGAGATTGCAATTGACAGACATGTACTATCAATACTATGTATATACTATATATATGGTACTATGTATGTGATACTATGTATGTGATACTATGTATGCGATACTATGTATGTGATACTATTATATGATACTATGTATACGGTACTATATATATTGATACTATGTATGTGATACTATGTATACGGTACTATGTATGTGATACTATGTATGTGGTACTATGTATATGATACTATGTATGTGATACTATGTATATAGTACTATGTATATGATACTATGTATACGATACTATGTATGTGATACTATGTATACAGTACTATGTATGTGATACTATGTATGTGATACTATGTATATGATACTATGTATACAGTACTATATATATTGATACTATGCATTAGATGCCTAATGGGAACTTACTGTATGGCTCTGGGGACTCTACTCAATGCTCTGTGGTGACCTAAACTGGAAGGAAATTCAAAAAGAAGGGATATATGTATACGTAAAGCTTACTCACTTTGCTGTACAACAGAAACTAACACAACATTGTAAAGCAACTATATTCCAATAAAAACTAGAAAGATAATAAATCCACTTATCAAAAAATAAAAAATAAAACCGGAAAATTTCCTTCCTTATTAGGCTAAGAGCAGGTGAAGAGAATTGCCGTTTATCTGTTTCCTCTCCTTGCACCTAGGCTGTGTGTGCAATTAGAGGGTCATAGGTCAACCATCCCCCAATTTTTCATGCTGGAAAGGCTTTTATACAGTGACCTTCCATCTAGTAATAGGACCTCTGTGACTAAAGTCCATGACACTTCGTTGCATAAAATAAATATTTCAAGAGCAGTCTGCATCTGCAGGTGCGCAATGGAAAAGTGAGGCAAGGATGAATACAGTTCCACATGAAAACTCTCATGTCAGTAGTTTTTACAGAATTGGAGCACTTTATACACTTCTCAAGAATAAAAAAGGGAAACTCCAAGGCAACAATTCTCAAAGTCTTTCACATTATGAATTCTCTCTACTATTTTGGAATACCTTTCCTCATAAGACTTCATTTTTTGAAAGCTCGTTGTCAATCAAGCGGGTCACGATTAAGGAATACAGGATTTCCCACTTTATTCAAAATCTTATATAATGGTCAATTAGAAGTTGAGTAAAAAGAGATAACTAGAGATATTACACCAAGCTGGAAAAACTCAGCTGACAAGCTAGAAATTCAGTATTTCTATTAGTCATGAAAACGAATCTGGGTAAAAGCATGGTCCCTGTAATGCGCTCTTAGGCTTCTTCCCGTATGTTTGCTTTCTTTAGTTTTCTTTGAATTACAGGAAGTACCTACCACTTAGTGAGCATCAGTTCTGCTGGGCAGTTTGCTTGCTTCATGTCTCATGTTTTCACTAAAATACAGATCAGGTATGACTCATTTCACTGATGAGAACACCAGGTTCCCAGAGAAGCTAAGAAATGTACTCCAAGTTAACATGGAGCAGTGCCAGAGTCCACATGGGCCATGTCTGCCTGACCTAAGTCCTGCTGCTTTATCCATTATAACAGCTGGCATCTTTTGGGGAACCTATGGTATGTGAATTATAACTCAAAATAAATGGAAGGAAGGAAGGACAGAGAAAAGGAAGGAAGAGAAGGAAGAATCACTGAGACCCAGACTTCATCATAGGCCAGGCATCAGACTTGAAAAAATTTTCCTTCAGTAATTTGAATGTGCAGCTGGTTGAGGCAGCAAGTGGTCAAAACAGTCCCAACGTTGCCAGCTCAGATCTCAGGCAGCAAGGAACCATCACAGGGCTCATTATAGTGTAGAACTTGCTTTCCTGGAAAGTGTTCTGACCACTGACACATCAATTTCCTAAGGAAATAAAATGTATGTACTAAGATCCAGGTGCCAAGATGTTGATTCACTATAGCACCATTTACAGAAACCCAAATTAATCCAAATGCCCAATTAGAAACTAAAAAATAAAGGATGTCATATGACAGACTACTATGCACCTTCCCAAAAAATATAAGTTATTTGAAGAAGAGGAAAATTAAGAAGTGTATTTGAAAACTATTATGCCTAGGAAACCCCAGTAAAATCATTAGATTATACCATCACATGAATCAAAATCAATCAAAGCACTAAAAACTACATTAAGATATTTTGCTTCAACCACTGTTATGTACCTCCCTACCTCTTACAGGTTACACTTCCATTTCCTCTGCATCATTCTAGCTTTTATTTATTTAGCAAATTCAAATAAACATACAAATAGTAAATAAATAAAACACAAATGTATATGCATGAATACATACTCTAATTTCCTGCTTCATACACAAAGGTAGTAAACAATATACATTATTCTGCGCTTCTTTGTGCTTACACAGCATAGGGTTCTTTTATGTCAGTCTCTAGGGACACATAGAAAGCTGTGTGATATTTCACTGGTGAATATACAATACTTTACAAAATACCCCCATGATATATTATTGGCTTTTTCCCATTCTTTCGCTATTACAAAAGATGTTGAAATTATAACAGTGTTTTGTGTTATTTTGACTATGTGTATTGGGTCATTTTGACAGCAATGGCGGCCGCTGTTATTCAGTTGCTCGGTTGTGTCCAACTCTTTGCGACCCCATGAACTGCAGTACCCCAGGCTTCTCTGCCTATCACTATCTCCCTGAGCTTGCTCAAACTCATGTCCATTGAGTCAGTGATGCCATCCAACCATCTCATCCTCTGTCGCCCCCTTCACCTCTTGCCCTTAATCTTCCCCAGCATCAGGGTCTTTTCCAGAGTCAGTTCTTTGCATCAGATGGCCAAAGTATTGGAGCTTCAGCTTCAGCATCAGTACTTCCAGTGAATACTCAGGGTTGATTTCCTTTTGGATTGCCTGTAATGGACACAGCACCAACCTGCACCTATACCACAATGTAGGTTAATGTGGGGAGAGTGATGTCATAGGACAGGATTTTGCTGATCTGTCAGGTGAAAAATAATATCTCATTTATCTCATTGTGGTTTTAATTTGCTTTTCTCTGTGCGTGAGGATAAGCATCTCTTTATATATTTAAAGTCAATTCAGATTTCCTTTCCTCTGCAGTATTTATTCATGTCCTTTGATCACTTTTTCTATCGAGTAACAATAGTAACACATATTATAACAATGCTCATTAACACATGTGTCTATTTCTATAGGTACAGACAAAACAAAAAGTTCACTGCATGATGCATGGGTGAAAAAAAATAAGTGATTCGAAAATCATTTTTGTGTATTAGAAAAAACATTGTCTCCTTTAAAATTGGGAAGGTGTTTTTTGTTTGTTTGATTACAATCTGCTTCAGCTTCTGTGAAACCAGTTCTTTTGAAAACCAAATAGAAGTTCAGATCTGGAAACAAAAGAAGCAACCAGATACAAGAAAGAAGAAATCTAATTTAGTCTTCTTGGTTCTGAAGAATGTGATCAGGCATCTTTAGCCCAAATACCTGGCCCTCTTCTTAGCCATCTGAAACTATTTCTGCATTGGGAAAGCATAGAAGGCAAGATGGAAAAAATGCAAACCACCAAATGCTTTGTGCAGCTGATTTCCCTGCCGGGGCCCCCAAGGGCAGTGCTGGGTAGTTTCCAACTTCTCAGCAACTTCCTGCCTCTCTCACCCTGGGCAGCCCTGGCCTGGGAGGTGCAGAGAAGGGAGGGCAGTGGGGGTGGGGAGACAGCCTGAGTGGCAACAGGAGGGCGCTGGTGTGGTTGGTGGGGTTTCATCCTCTCCGGTTTCAATTTTGTTCATGTGCTCTGTCAAGTGTGGTTGATTCGTGGAAAAAGCTCAAACTCAAACTGGCCTTCACTGGCTGGATCTCTGCAAAGTGTAGCTGGGGTGTCACAAAAAAATAAGAACAGTTAAACCACAACGAAGTTTGCTCACTTTCAAAGGGTCACAGTTAATGGAATAAAAGGTCCTTCTGCACAGTCTTGCGATTACTATCACACATACTCTGGGCTGGGGGTTCAGGTTCCCCACTTTTATAGATAGAGTTCATCCAATGAGCTCCTCTGTGAGTTGGGAACCTTATGCTCAGGATGTCCAAATGCTGCACCTCAAGACCCCGAAGGAAAGGGCAGACAGGACTCCTTGGAACACAGGACTCCTTCCACCAACCACCTGTGCTCTTCCATGATCTGTGAGGCTGATATGTCTTGGTTTTATTTTCTCAGTGTAGACCAGGTGACATGAGACCCGATCCCTGAACCCAGTGACTTGGAAAGACTGCAGATGTGGGCAACAGGGATACGCTTTCTCCCTCACGAGAAACGAGATATAGAAGGCCCTGGGGTCACCTAGCTGTGCAATTGAGTATCACATATACTGAGTCACCCAAGCCTCCAAAAGGGACAAAATGACTTCAGAGTCAATCTGAGCAAGGCTTTCCAGATGGTAAATCAGACGACAGTGTGTTGGGTGAATAGCAGAGGGCTGCTCAGCAACATGAGCATGAAGAGCAGGTGGCTCCCCTCCCCACCCAGCAGGTCCAGAGAGGGGTCCAGTTCCTGGACTCCATCTGTCCAGCTCCAGAGGGAAGCAGGGCTCTGGCTGAGGTCAAGGCTTCAGCTCTCACAGTCAGAACTTGCAGCACAGTCAAGTCACATCCTTCCTTCCTCTTGTCTTTTCTCTGAGAGCCAACATCTGGGGTCCCTGCCCTCCCAGGAGGACTGGCCACATCCTCCTAGTCCAGCCTGAGCATAGGGGGAGAGCTCCTTCCTAGGTTAAAGTCACACGCTGATGTCCGGCTCAGGCCCCGTTGTGGTCATGGTGTAGATGCAGGTCCACTCCTGGGACAGGACATTCTCACTGTGATGACACCATTGAAGTCTTGAGGTTTTAGTCTACAGCCTAACCCTGGAGCTCCCCCTTTCTCCACGTAAGGTGCTCCTTCTGGTGAGGCCCCAGGCTCCCAGAGAGCTCCAGCTGCACTTCTGTTCTTAAATGACATAATGAATAATGACAGGAAACTGACAGACATGCTGCTTCCCATGAAGCACTGAGTTGAATATTTCTTTTTAACGAAAACAGCTCACAATAGAATTGAGTTCATTTTGATTCAAGCTAACTAAACACAAGGGGAAATAATTTCATAGAAAGGGTTTAAAGAAGGGTAGTCAGACTATTTTAGATCATACTTCTAAGAGAAAGAGTCTATCTCTGGTGACCCTTTATATGTATTCACAATCCCTCAGGTTCCCCTTTTGTAATTCCAACACTTTAGGCCAAATACATAATGCAAACAGGAAAAATAAAATTAATCATTTTGATATGTTGGATTTTATTACCTTTTAAAATTGTACAAATAGCGCATGTGCATGAGTTAAAAAAACATAAGGGAAATGTAGGGAGTTAAAAAAGAAATACCAAAGAAATTCGAAACATGAGACAAAAAAATTCCATTCTGCAAATCAAAATAAAGATATTTTGCATACTAAAAAAGTGTTATTCCAATATATTAAGAAGCCTTTTTGATCAGGAACACAGCACAAGACTTTCTGCAACTATTCACTGACAGATCAGATCCAGTCTCACTGAATACAGGGTGGGCCACGACATTATCTTACCAGCCACAGGCAGGTGACATAAATGGATGCGGGTATGATACCATGTCTGTGAGGTATTACAATAAATAAATTCTTTATTAGCCGTTCAGCAATATCAGCAGTGGATGTCACCATTTCAACCTTCAATAGGGAGACCCCCATCTCCAGTTCCTTTTTCTTTCTGGTGACTTTCAATGAAGGTTTTTCACACTTAGAAGAAGAGAGAACACAACAATGTTTGAGATGCAGTGTAAAAAGGCAAAATGCTACACTTGAAAAACCATGGGTAGGGCAACACGAGAACTTGAAGCCTTTTAGAAAAGGATCTACTATTCACATGCCCATGATTTTGTCTCATGTCTGAGCACTGTTGTAGGAAAAGGGCCCGAAGCACAGTGGATACCACTGATACAGGGCCTTCAATAGCAGGACTCTGGCAGCCTCTGACTCTATCTGACTCCATGCCAACTGCCCACCTTCTAAGAATCAGTGCACTACTTTTTCCTGCTTTAAAATTTTATTTCATTATTTCTAATTGAGATATAACTGATAAATAACAATTTATTAGTTTAAGTTATATAACACAATGACTCTATATTTGTATATACTTTGAAATGATCACCACAGTAAGTCTACATAAGTTAACATTCTTCACTATACATAGTTACAGATTTTTTTTTCTTATCAGATGAAGTTTTAAGATCTATTCTTTCCCTTCTGTGGTTAAATAATTAAGCAGAAATACAGCTTTTACAATTGACTGTTTATTTGCTCATATTTGTGAAGTTAAAACGTTTCCTTTGATGATTTGAAGGAACTGAACAATGTGCCCCAAACTGGAGGCACGTGGAGCCCGACTGCTGTGACTGGACCACACCTGTCATCTCAGAAGCTCCAACACACTCGAGAGACAACCAGCCTGTGTGGACCAGAGTGGATGCCGGTACAGATGGGGCGCCTGAGTCCCGGCTCTGCCCCCGCCAGCTGTGGGACCCTGGACCAGTCACCCACCCTCAGTCTCTCTGCCTCCGTGTAAGTGGAGACAAGGAGAGTACCACCTCCCGGGACTGCTGCCCTTGCCGCCCTCAGAAGTTAGGGTTTGTAATTAAATCATGCCTGCCATGGAGACATTCTGGCTACAATAAACAAAACAAACTAAGCCATCCTTATTCAGAAATGTGGGTCTCTGAGGTAGTTTTCATCCTCCGCCAATTTATACCTAGAAAATGTTAAGAGATTTTATATAATAAAATGTGCCTGACAAATTCACATAATTAGGAGAAATATAACTATAATCACTCTCATATTTTCTGAATTTAACTTTGAATCTACTTGAAGGAAGGCTCCATATTCAACTACTTCACTATTACAGTTTCATTTTCAAAGACTTACTTTAACAAAAGTCTTACTCATAGTTCTAAAAGTGGTTTTTCACTGTCCTGCTTTTCTTCAGCTTCATTTTCAGATCCTAGGAGGTAGAGAAGGGGAAGAAGAAAAAGTACCACATTCAATTACAGTAACAAATAATTTAACATTATGATATACGTGCATAAAATTTTAAATGAGGGTTACATGTGTTTAATCCACAAGATTTAAGTTAATGAAACTGTAAAATAGTTTTACATTATATCTTGTAGAGGGAAAACCTTTAAATATCATTCACACTAATCTGTCCAATGGATTTCATGTATGTCCTTCTAAAAATATTCATATAGACCAAGAACTATTACCCACTGCTCCTCCACATCTGCTTCTTTGCTGAAAAGCTTCCCTGGTTTTCAACTGAAAATCTCTTTGGTATAAATAATTTAATATACGTATTTGAAAAATGGCTGTATTCAGCGAGTGAGAGAGGGGGAGTCTAAAGTATGGGGGAAGCTGTGTCACCACTGTGTGCTGTTTCAGCGACCACAGTTACAACCTTTCTGAGTCAATGTTGCATGACCCTTCTATTATTGTTTCTTTTAAGAACATACTTTATTTTTCAATTCTTATTTTTATTCATTTTTTGGTCACAACATGCAGGATGTGGGATCTTAGTTCCCTGACCAGGGACCGAATCCATGCCCTCTACATTGGAATCTTATGTAGAATCATATGGGATCTTAAGCATGGAATCTTAACCACTGGACCACCAGGGAAGCCCCTACCTTCTACTATTCTTCAATTGGACCCAGTCATTACTCTGGGATGATATCCTTAGGATATATCCTTGAGGAAATAACACTTTTTTCCATTATGAGATTTTCCCTCTAAAAATGAGAAGAAAAATCTAATGTCTGAGTGCAGAAAATGATTAATTATTATATTTCCATGAAGTATCTTTCATTTCATGGAAATATAATTCTATAGTACACAACAACATGGGAAATGTATATGCAATAAAAGTAAAAGCAAATATATAACAAGAAATACAGTATAAGACCATATTTGATAAAAACTTATAAACTTTATATACTAGCATGAATCAGTAAGACTAGGGAAAAAAAAAAAGACCAGGTGACTTATACATTTCTGGATATTCCAAAATTTCTACAATAAACTTAAAGTGACTTTGTAACTTTTTTAAAAAGGTATAAATAATATAGACAGTATAGCCAATACACATTATGTAAATTACAAACACAAAAGTAGAAAGAAACAAACTGTCAATATTAATGTTGCTGAATAGTTTGAAGGAGAGTTAGCTTCTACTTTTGTTCTTTTCACATATTTATAGCAATGACACATTCCTCTCATACTTAGGGATGGGAACTAAAGACGGTGGTGAGGAGACCGAGGGGACAGGTTAGGATGTTACCTACTCCCCCACAAGAGCAGCCTGCCTCACTGTCACTTTGCTCCTATCAGATAATACAGTTCAAAAGGACACGTTCACCAGGAGGGAAGCTGGGGGGCAGGATAAATGGGGAGAGCCGGACTGACACAGACACAATCTATGTACGAAATAGATAACTTACAAGACCAACTGTGTGCACACAGAACTCTACTCAGTACTCTCTAATGACCTATAAGGGAACAGAGTCTTAAAAAGAGTGGGTATCACGTATAACTGATGCAGTTTGCTATACAATTGAAACTAACACCACATTGTAAATCAACTATAATCCAATAATTTTATTTCTTTTTTAAAAAGGGCACTTTTTGGAGAACATCTGCCTGGATTATAGCCAAGAACAAATCTGGCACAGAAGAATGAGCCCCTGAAGAAGCTTAAGGAAAAGTCTGTGTCCCACACCTAAACCTCACAAATATCATGTCGTTCAGATTAGGTTTGTGGTAAAACAAATACATAAAGAAGCAGTGGCAGGAAGGCTTCACTTCCCAGAATATTACACTGCTGTAAATCTTAGAGACTTGGGAGTGGTTTAACTGCCATCTCACTTGGCAAGGAGTCTAAGGAAGGTGGTCACATGGAGTCTTCCTGTTTCCGGGCTCACTTTCCACCTGTGAGGTTAACGGCATTCAAGCCACAATAAACTGGCATGCTTTAGAACTACTGGGAAGTCCTAAATAAAGTCAAATTTTAAAAACACAATAAAACATATGCTTTCCCTAATCTCAAAGTGAAAGCTACTAAGGTGTTCTGGCTATTGTCAAAGAACGAGTTCAACCAGTCTTCTCTGAAAAGTGAGTATAAAAACTAATGAACCAAACAGCAGATTCAATGCTAGGGAGGCAACCTAATAAGGCCTGAAACTTTATGAGAAGTGATTGAAAAACTGCAGAACTGAGAGAACAATATTGTTCCCCCACCTCCCATCACTCAGCTTCATGGTATGAAGGTTCTTCCAAGTATGGCAGGCTGTGAGGACTGGCAGCAGATTTACACAGTTGAAGGAGCTCCTTTCATCTGAGGTGAGGAGTAATGCAATGGTGCAACAGTGGTGTGTGAGCAAAGGCCCAGAGTCTCTGCTGGTTTGAGGTGATGGTCAAGGCTGCAGCGAGCATATACTTGCCTGAAGCTGTGTGCAAACTCAACGGAAACCCAAGAGAACCTATGCTAGACCAGGCGACTGTGAGGCTGTAAACACGTGCAGAGGAGATGCAAAAATATTCAGCAAAAAGCACAGCGGAAGAAGACTTGAAAAGACCTGAAATTCAAATGCGCTATCCAATACATACAAATGGCCATCTGGCCGAGGATGTAAGTCTTAACCAAGGTGACTGATCACAAAACCTGTCCAATCACTGGTTAGCACTATGCTATGTGGACACAAGGGTAACTCCTAAGAACTCAGGCTTAAAAATGAAAGAACTAACCATACCAACTGAGAAGACACATCTGCAGCCACACCACAGGGGACATAATTTCACAGACAGCCCACACCAGCATGGATGGTGTCAAATTAAATTTTCAGTGCCTTCATCTAGACTTGTTTAGCACAGATGACAGGATGGGACTGAGTTATTCTTTAAGTCAACTGTTCAGTGATTCAGGACATGATAAATTACCTTTTCTCCAACATCACAAGTGGTTCATTTAAATTATCTGAGCACATAAGAACTTTAACCCAACCATCTGAGAACTGGGCTTCCTCATTCTTTCAACTTAATACACAGGCAAACAGGATACAGCTAAAGCAGCAAGGAAATCTGCAAACAAACCACCTAATATCCTTTAAAATACATCCACTAAAATCTGCTAATTTTCCAAGGCTCTGTGACTCTTAAAATTCAAGCCACTCGTTTACAAGGAAAAATGCTAACATTTACTTTAATCTTAATTCTTTCCTAAACTGAACACAGATAATGAAAATATACAGTAAAGTAAGTCACCTCGAACACTCCTCTGCCCACTACTAAACTGGTCTTTGCTTAAACAATGCAGCCACCCAGCGGAATGCTTACAGTGTTGTTTTTGTTTAGCTTCATAATTCTGTGACGTGGTAATGCTTTCAACTGCCACTAGGGGGTGGTAAAAGTCAGAGGAGGAAGCCCATGGCTTGCTTGATGAAAAATGCCTGAGGCGGTATTCCTCACATTCTCCTGCTGTTCTGAACTTCTGATTAAAAGAAAAAGTACACATAGGTGCTGAGAAATTCTATTAGTCTCAGTAAAAAGGTACACAATCTCAAGGAAATCATCCTTATAACGAGGTAATGAAAAGTTTACTACTCATCCTAGTGTCTGTTGACTGAGAAATAGCTTTTCTGCTCAATCACATCTTTATTTCATCTGACTCTATGATTTTGGTGGTGTTGTTTTTTAAGATTTACTTATTTATTTTATTTTTCAGCTGGGCTGGGTCTTGCTGCTCCCTGCAGCTTTACTGTTTGTCGCGGCTCGCGGCCTTCTCATCGCGGTGGCTTCTTGTTGCAGGGTACAGGCTCTAGGTGCACGGGCTTCCGGAGTTGCAGCTCCCGGGCTTTAGAGCTCAGGCTCAGCAGTTGTGGCACATGGGCTTAGTTGCTCTGTGGCAGGTTGGATCTTCCTGGACCAGGGACCAAACCGGTGTCCCTTGCATTGCAAGGCAGATTCTTAATCACTGGACCACAAGGGAAGCCCCTATGGTTTTCTTTTATATTGCTTTTAAATTCAACACCAATAGTCCAGAATATCAAGTTACTTCAAGTTTCCCTGACTCCCTATGTCACAATATGATGTCTTTGATTTTCACATGGCTCTATCTGCCTGGAGTTTGTTTTACTCTATTGTGTGTGTGTTTAAAATATTTACTATGTGTAATGTGAGAATAAAATAATGTAGTCTCTAACTCAAGTTTACATCCCAATAATAGGAACAGGCCAAGTCACTGCCAAAGTCAGTGCAGTCAGCACAGGATGACAGCGCTGTGGAAGGGAGCTTACAGAATATGAGGCAAAAGATGCCCTACCGATGACTGAGGGGAGTCGGGGGGCATAGTGGGGGTGGGGTCAGGAAGAAGGCTTCTCAACATCTGAGTGGACACGAGGACCACTGAGGTATGTCAAGGACAGAACAAGCAAGATGCACAATGGCCTGGGGGCTCTGGTGTATCTTCAGAAATCTAAGAACGGCACGCAGGAGCATAATGAGAGGAGAGTTTGGACCACGGGTAAAGATGGACATACAGCTGCTTTCTGCCAGGCTTAGGATCCAATCACTTTCTCAATCTTTTGTGTCACTGAAGGCTTTTAGGCAAGGGAATAATAACATGGTCAATTTTGCTAATATTGAAAAATATATAAAATTTGCATATATTAGCTGTGATCATAGATGCTAGCCATGGAGCTGGGGTTCAAGTCCAAGCTTCACCTTCTTACTCTGTGTAATACTGGATGAACTATCTCACCTCTCTGCGCTTCAACTTGCTGATCTCTAAAACAAGGATAATGAGACTTTGACCTCCTTAGAGAGGTTATGAGGAACCCTTAGAACAATGCAGTCATTCTGTCTAACATGGTAGTATGGTGGCTGGTTGGGAGAAGGCAACTGAGGAGGAGGCTGTTGCAGAAACAGAAGTGATGACAATTTAAATGAAATCAAGAAGGTAGCAACAAAGAGGATCAAAATGGCATGGTGAACAATGGGCCGGGAGCCACAGGAGAGGGGTGGAGTCCCCAGTGAGGCTCTGGTTTCCGACATGGGCAGCGGGGTAGGTGCTGCTCTCAGACATGGGGGATTCTGGAGGAAGGTCAATTGCGGGGGACAGATAAGAGAGCTTCAAGACTCTCCCCTGTCCACATACCAGTGTGTAAGGCCCTCTATCATGTTTATTTTTGCAATTCTGCATCTCATCACGGGTTGCACATCAAGACCATGTCTTGTTTATATTCACATCCTAAATGTCTGGTATGTTAAATGTTTGCTAAGCATATTGAGAAGTACAGGGGGTGAGGTGAGGGGGGAAAGCTTCTGAATGATAAGACAAAAACATAAATGATAAATCAAATTTTCTACCTGCTTCAGATTCAGGAGGAGAATAAAACTGACCATCAGAAAGACCCCCAGGTATCAGCGCCGCCCTCTCCGAGGCATCCTGAACTATCAAGAGTCCTGGAAGAGAAGAAATTCAGATGCTGGGAATGATGCCACTGTTCTGGTAGATTTGTGTCCAGGTAACCAAAATAAAACAGTATTATTATTACATTTTTAAAAACTCTTAGTAGGAAAGGGTACTTTGAAAAATCTTTCAACCAAAAACTGTTAATAGAATCTTCTCATCTGGAAATACCTACTTCCTTACAGAAACCAACAACATCAAAAGCAAAGCACAAAGCCAAACAAACAAACAGAAAGAACTCATGAGCTTGTACAAATGGCCTCCAGTCTAAATCTGGTTAGAGAAATGCCAGCATAAAAGCAAAAAAGCACTAGCAGAGAGGCTGTGGACAACGCGTTCTTCTGGCTGAAGCTGGGTTATACCGAGATAAAGCTGGAGGAAGCACCAGGCCAAACAGCAGGTGCCAGGTGTGCATGTAATACTGGTTACAGTGAAAAGAAATGCTATTTTCAATGTTTTCACTAATCATGTGTTCTTCTTTTATTAGTGACTTTAGTTTAATCACACAGGCATGCAAGCCTCAGTCACATGAACAGCTGACATACTTTCACTTAAGTTCAGTTTGATGTTTATATACAACTTAAACAATTTTTGTTTTTTTTTACTTTTGGCCAGGCCTGGCAGCACAAGGGATCCTAGTTCCCTAACCAGGGTTTGAATCCACACCCCCTGTAGTGGAAGCCCAGAGTCCTAACCACTGAACTACCAGGGAATTCCTCTATTTACAACTTTTTAACAAGCGGCTTCATGTAGCTTTACTTGTCCCTTTTCCACAATACAGTTTCATAAAAGAACAGAAGGCATAGGATAGAAGATGGATCTTAGTCTGATTAATGTGTTTTAAAATCTATTCTTGAATGATAATTCTTTTCTCACCGATTTCATCTTTGTACATGAACTTTTGAAAAATAAAACCACTTACAAGTTTATTTTTCCTTCTATTATATCTTGAGGTTATAATCATGTTTAACTTTCTGTAAGACATAAGAATTTTTTTTTTTTTTGCCTATTAGGTGGGGCAAATCCAGCCAGATGACTGAGAGAACATAAAAACAGCAAGTCTTACAACTGTCTTGAGTCTCTGCTTTGAACTTTGATTATATGTGTCTAAGGGGACAGGTGGAATGTGTGTGCTTCCACTACGGCCATCACGCAGAGAAGAATTCCAGCCCAATAATTCAGTCTAAAGTTCAATCACTTGGATCTCCCAGTGAACATGCCGTGATGCTCAAAGCCACACAAGGAGATGATAACAACTTTAACAGGATTCATGACCACACATTGCCAGCTCTCACCCTCTCCTCAGAGGAGGATGGAAAGCCTGAGATGGGTGAACATTTCTCTGGCTGGCTAACTTCCTCCTCTCCTTTCCATCTCCATCAGCAACCCATCAAAGGGGTTACCAAAGGGGAAAGGTGGGAGAGGAAGGGATGAATTAGGAGGCTGGGATTACATATATACACTAATATATAAAAGATAAATCATCAACAAGGACCTACTGAATAGTATCGGGAACTCTATTCAATACTCTGTAATATCCTGTATGGGAAAAGAATTTGGAAAGGAATAAATATATGTATATGAACAACTAAATCACTTTGTTATATATGTGAAACTAACAAGCATGGTAAATTAACTATACTCCAATATAAAATAAAAATTAAAAAACTAAAAAATGCGAAGCCAGAACTCTGCAGCCCGTCCCCCCAACCTGGCTGTTCTTTAGGAGGTAAACTTGGAGAGAAACTTACTGTTTTCTTCTTCTGCCTCTTGAGGTAACACTTTGAAGTCCAGGAACCACGTCTCGATCCAGGCAAGGATGAAGGAAATGATGGGCAGCACATAGCCAAAAGCTCCTTGTGAGAAAAGCTGGAAGAACAGATGCGACCAGGAGAGACAAACACAGTTACCATGAGCTCATTCTAGAGAACAAGGCATCAGTACAGACCGTCACGGCAGAGAGAGAGTGGAAAGCCATACCTTTGAGAGGACCACTTTTGCTAATAAAAAGGCACTGGTCACTGCTGTTGTCAACTGAAAGACACAGAATCCAGCAACATTCAAATTAGATATCTGGCACTGTAAAGGCATCTCTCTCATGCAGGAGAACCATCTGGGCCAGGATCAGGAAACGCTCAAAAAGGCCCTGGCGCACCTGGCTTCCTCCCATGTCACTCTTCCTCTGTCCCCTAAACTGGATGGGGGCAAAGAGGGCTTCCACATGGCACGGATGCCCTGCGTGGCAGCTTGAGGCTTCCTTCACCCGCAGGTTGGTATGCTGGGAAACTCAATTTTGTCCACTGGAGGGTACAACATGTAAAGATGCTATCTGCATAGAAGGGGCCAGTGAATGTGAGGCAGGGCTCCCCCAGGGCTCAGGAAGCCCAGAGATTATTCCCACAGGACCTGGGCCTCATGTCTTCATCCTCTAACTAATATATGTAGCAATAAGAAACCTAACCAAAGTGCATGCCAACAGGAGACTTGACTTACAAAATGGAGGTCAAGAAACACCAGGTGTCATGCTTGGTCACTATTAACAAAGTTGCAGAGTCAGTTTTGTTAGCAAAACACCACACACACACACACACACACACACACACACACACACACACACACACGCACATATACATGTTAATACATACACACACAGACACCCCAGGATTGGGAGAGGAGGCATCTTACATTCTGATACTAATTAATTTTACAGGCTGATACTAAGTGCTTTTCAGGAACCAGCTGACTCCTTCCAGCTGCCTGACCCCTTCTCTGTACATGTTTTTAGAAACAAGAATCAAAAACAATAAAATGGATGTGCTTAAAGTGACCCTTTGATAATTTCAAGCTAGAGATTGAAGAAGGTTTCTTAAAACTCACTGCACAGTCAACCACTTTCCGAAACAAACATTGAGACAGATTTTCTGAAAGATACCAGTGCACATCATGGAAACTGAACAGAATGTCCCAAATTGGGATCGCTGGAGAAAATGGACAAGCAACAACCATCACAGCTGTTTGGGATCAGCAATAGCATACAGTCAGGAAAGGGAGCTGAGTCTGACTGAAACTGATGGCCTCCATCCATGAAATGTGAGCTTGGGGTTCAGTGGATGCTCAGAAGAGATGGTCCAGGCAGACAAGGCACATGGTGGATGCCCTCTTAGGACAGTACACAACTCCATGCCCATCTGGACAAGCCCGTGCCAGGCCCACACAGACCAAGGTCCCACACAGTTTAGTCCTGCCAAGTCTTCCAGTCTGAGGAGCTTCCCCCATGTACCTGCCTTGTTTAGAGCTCTCAACATGGTGACTGTTCAGAGGTCCATGGAAATGGCGAAAATAATTCAGGCAGAATTGCTCATAATTCTTCTTTCAACCAATGAATACTTATTGAGAAGAGCTTGGGCCAAAGCTCTGGGTTGGATGCCAGGAAATGGAGGTGAGTAAAAAATGCCACTGCCTTCAAGAAATCCAAAGGCAGCAATAAAAGGGCACTTCTACCTTTAAGACTGGAGGGAGGTGGGTAACACAGGGGGGAAGGCAGGGGTCAAAATCAGCAGAGACCAAATGGGGAAAAGTCACCAAGATGCTTCAGCCCAAGAGGAAAGGGTCCAAACTGCTTTGAGACAGAGGGACTGAACTCATCCCTCACTTGCAAAATGAGGTAGAGGGTGGGCTGGCGCTTGGACCACAACCACTGCTAGACCCCTGGACTTCCCCTTTGTCTCAGCTTCCATAGCTGAGACACTTCTGGAGAGAAGCCCTGGAGGACGAAACCTACTGAGGTGTGAAGGACAGGGATTCAGAAGAAGCCAGGAGGATTCAACTCGGGTGGAACCACACATGCCCCCAGCTCAGGCCTCTTGTGAGCAGGCCTTGGTCACGAGCACTGAGGTGGGAACCGCTCAGCAGGCATACTCACCGCTATGGCCCACCAATGGCGCAGTCTGCACACCGCATATGCAAGTATTAACACTTTAAATCGAAAAACTGCCAAAAGCTATATGAAAAAAAAGACAAGTTTTCAGGGATATGCACAAAGGTATACATTAAGTTTTATGAAGAACCCACCAAAGTGTTTTTATTATTCTGATTTAGTTGAAAACTGTCACAGATAGTGTGTATTTACTGGTGTGTGACTGGTCTATAGACCAGTTTGGGATCTCTGCTCTAGAATTTGTGGAATATCACATAGACAGGGACTCAAATTAACTTCCCATTATCAACAAAAGAATATATAGTGAGATGTTTCTTTTACCTTTCTATTTGAGTCCACATAGATTCTGATATCCTTAAAGGTGGGAGACAATGTTTTGAAAGTTGACTTTCCACTCCAAGTACCTTTCCACTCACTTTCAGAAGATACCAGATTGTTAGTGAAGTCCACTGGAAAGCTCTGAGTTACTGGTGTGTTGCTAGAGTTTTGCAATCCCAGGAGCTGCCCTCTGATTGTTCACCATGGTTCAGGGACTTTTGTGGAATGCTTTATATGTATTACTGTCCCACATAATCCCCCACCCCAGCAATTCCATGAGTCAGCAACCATTACAATGGATACAGAAACTGTTGAGGCCACACAATCTTAGTGAGGAAGCCAGGATTGAACCTCAATAGCCTGATTTCAAAGATCAGGCACTTAGCCACTATTCCAATTGTCTTAGTAATTCTCATTTACTAAGGAATAAACATAGAATAAAATTTTACCTATTTTACTTGAAAAATATGCTTATTCTGAGTGGTAAGAAGTCAGGTGGCTCTTGAGTAATGCCTTGGGGTAGGGGTCTGCCAAATGTTCCTCACTAATCAAAACTGCTGAAGGGCTGGAAGCTGACAACTTCATTGCTGTCATTGGCTGTATGACCTCACTCAAGACCCTTTCATGTAAATGAAGTTTGCAGCTATATTTGTTTTAATTTGCGGCTTTCATTAAAAATGGGTTTACCAGTAATGTGCTAACGATTTAGTTTCTTTATTTATCCTACCCCTATCTCTGCATTCTGGACTTGGCAAAGGCATAAATCTTTATTCCTTTATCTCAAAGTCTCCCAGACTCCAAGGTTTCCTGGAGGCTGTGTCCATTTCCAAGGCCAAGAGTGACAGTCTTTCCAAGCTGAGCTAATAGGTCCCACCTAATTGTCCAATATTATTAACTCTCTAAGCAGAGTTCAGACAACCCTTGGAGATATGTCCAGAGGATTAACTTGGCTTCCTAATAATTCCTGGCTCAGACTACTTAAGACAAATTCATCAGAGGAAATAAAAGCAAAGAGAGAAGTCAATTTTGTTATTACATGTCAATAGCTTCACAGAAAGAAAATTATCAAGAGATTTAGGATCTAACATGCTCTGCCACAAGTTCAGTGACGTGGGGTAGGTCAAGACACTGACCCATGAGACTCAATGTCTTCCTCTGGAAAAGCAGATTAAATTATATCAGTGGTTTTTCAAATACTCTGTGGCAGCCAAACACTTTTTCAAAACAATCTTACTGGAACACTAACATACTGTACAGATGAAAATGGAATTGACTCCGACTCCAAGCGGGTGATGACAAGGAACCCGGATGTCTATTTGCTGGGAATCCCATCTCTTCCCTGCTTCACACTTCAGCACGGCGAGTCAGAAAAACAAAACAAGCTAGACTTTTCAGAGCAGCTCAAAGGCCACTAGAAAATATAACCATTAATATTTTCAACCAAAGCTAATGATGATGGTAACAATGATTGGAGGTAAATCGCTGAGCTTCTGAGACATACCTTTCATTGGGCTAAGTGTTTTCTGGGTATTATTTTATATATGTTTCAAAACTATGATGATTTCATTTCACATAGGAGCAAAATGAAGTTTAGACCTAATATATACAAAGATATACAATTAGTGGCTGTGTTGTGAATAAAACCCAGGTTTTTCTGACTGTAAGGGTCTTAACCATTGTGCACACAGCTTTTAAGGATACTGAATAAAGTAGTTAAAATGAATTTGGGGCAATTTCTAATGAATTTCAATTGCCTATACTGTGTAACACAATGTTAGGACCTGACTTATTCACACTATCACCTGTAAAAAGATACCATGGAGATCTATCAAACCCAATCAAAGTCACAATGTATCCTAGAAAGATACTGCAAATATTCCTTTGAATAAAATGAACACCTCACCTACAGAACTGCATCTATACAATTCTACAACTGACTAATGTTGCCCAAGATTGTCAACTGTTATATCAGTTTTCTCAAAAGCTCCTATTATGGAAAAATGAAACAGAATCATTATTAAAAATACACTCAGAAATCTACCACAAGAGAGAAAACGAATGGCATCTTCACTGTGCTATTATATAAACAGGTAAATTTTCCTTTGTAGCATCTGCTGATGGCTTCTATCTCAACTACTTTTGAAAGAATAAAGGAAAATCTGAATGGCTGCTTCTGCTATGCTCCCTTATTTCTCATTAATCTTTTCTTTCCTTGAAATGACCAGAGAGAGACAGCACTGAATGGCTCAAGGATAAAGGGAAAGGAAAGATAATGTTTAAAAGAGGAAAAAAGAATTGCACAGAAACTGGGGTCTACTGAGAGTTTGCCTTTTGGTTAGTCTCATCATGTCCAAAATGAGATGTACGACAGAGAATACTTACGAATATATCAAAGTAAGAAGAGTAGTAGTCATACCGCACCACCTCTTTCTCTAACGTGTTCTCAATACCTCCATTCACCTGGGAAGGGCAGGAAGAAATAAAAATGAGAAGTCATGTGCAAAAATAAAACAGGAGAACACACAAGGAAGGTTTTACAAACACTCTTCTATCTTCTTCAGAAGACAGAGAACAATAACCAGAAATTTTAAAACGTGTTAAGAACCCTCATATTTCTAAGAGAAAAATGGTGAAGGGCACTTCCCACTTCAATTTTGAATTCAACAAATAGATAATGGTGAACAATGTGTTTTTGAAGCTTATATTTTGGCACACTAAAATGTTAAACATGATTTTTTTTTCTCTTACAAGAGAATGTCTTCAGTCATACCAACATGTATTTTTATGGAAGACAATTAACATTTATCCAGGATTCCCCTCACTTTCTGATCACTCTTCACTATTTTAAGTCTTGGAAGGCCAAGTTGTCCCCTAATCGCTTAGCAAACATCCGTGACTGACAATAGTTATCACACAGAAGAGACAGAAGAGAAATGTAAAAAATCTCTGTGGTTGTTCCTATTTGCTTCTGCATTTTAAAATTCTGCACTCTTGAATAGATAACAAAATAAAGGCCAAGCTAGACCTCATATGTGACAAAGTTATAGAAGATGATGTAAAGTAAACCTATTATGATAAATTTTCTGTCCTCTCCCAATTCTATCAAGATAAATTTTAAATGATCAAGTTTAAAATTCTGCATATCAAACTATAAAGAATACTACTTTTTCAAAAGTAGTATTCTTTAAAAAAAAAAAAATCAGAAAGGACCACATGTCTGACAGCTAAGAAAGGACCCAAGCAGACCCTCTATAACTTCGAGGACCCATGAATGAGCTGATAACAGGGAACAGGATGTACAATAGCAAATTCAAGTCTCCAATCTAGAGTACAGACACTGTTGGTCCTGACAAACCAGTGCAGTTATCTGAGGACAAATTAGAGGGCAATTAACCAGAGATCTAGGTAAAAGATAAAAGGAGAAAAAGTCAATAAGGAATACTTTTGTACGATTTACGTGTGTGTGTGTGTGTGTGTGTGTATGTGAAAGTTGCTCAGTCGTGTCCAACTCTTTGCAACCCCATGGACTGTAACCCACCAGGCTCCTCTATCCATAGGGATTCTCCAGGCAAGAATACTGGAGTGGGTTGCCATACCCTCCTCCAGGGGATCTTCCCAACCCAGGGATCAAACCCAGGTCTCCTGCATTGCAGGTGGATTCTTTACCATCTGAATCACCAGGGAAGCCCAAGAATACTGGAGTGGGTAGCGTATCCTTTGTCCAGCAAATCTCAACCCAGGAATTGAAACGGGTTCTCCTGCACTGCAGGCGATTTCTTTACCAGCTGAGCTACCAGGGATTTACTACGATTTACTAATTGGTTGTATTAAAGTAAAAGTTGACACGAGGAAAGAATCCTCTTGGCTTAGATACCTTTTCAAGTACAGTTGACCCTTGAACAACAGGGATTTGAACTGCATGGGTCCACTTACAGGTGGCTATTTTTCAACAGTAAATATAGTCCTACATAGTCCATGGTTGATTGAACCCATGGGTGTGGGAGAATCATGGATATGGAGGGCTGGCTATAGATTATACAATATATCCCCTCTCCTGCACTGTCCAAGGTCAACTGTACTTGTTATAAAAATGGAATATAAAACAAACACTATTTTGTACCTTAAATCCCTTAAGGAGGCTTACATTTCTGTGTAATTTGTGCAGATGAGCTACAGACCTGACTATAAGCCTTCACCAATGAATAGAATTGAAAACCTGGAAGCAAGGAGAAATAACTGAAAGCCAACCAACCATCTAGTTTCACTGCTATGTCTCTCCAGACCAGGGAAACTTAATATCCAAAATACTCTAAAAAATGATTATTCCAAGTAGACTATGGCAAAGAGGCATTCTCTACCACACAGAAACCAATGCCCCCGGCTGCAAGAATGGGAATTAATGCTGCTGATACACTTCTGTAGTAACAAGCCAGTAGAAAGAGGTTCTCTTCAGTATCCATAAACTTTAAAATAAACTGTCATTTCATGTTGCCTTTAAATAGAAAAAGGGCTTCTCCAGTGGCTCAGTGGTAAAGAATCCAACTGCCAATGCAGGAGATGCAAGAGACGTGGATCGGGAAGATCCCTTGGAGTAGGAAATGGCAACCCACTCGAGTATTCTTGCCTGGAATATTCCACAGACAGAGTCTGGTGGGCTATAGTCCATGGGGTTGCAAAGAGTCAGACACAACTGAGCATGTGCACAAAAGAGAACTTAAATAGAGTAAAACCTGTATCTCTAACCCCAACTTACACTCAAAATTACTTCAAAATCTCGGTCTCTAGTACAAGATGTCCCAAACAGATTCATCTTTATTTTCACATGGACCCTCCTTCCCAATCACGGTTCTGTCAGAACTGGTACTGTTATTCTAGATGCTGTCCTTAGAAATCTTAAGAGTCATCTTTAGATACTGGGGTGATAAAATCAGTTTATCAACAAATCATTAAATTTCTTCCTTTAGTACATCTCTCAAGTTAGCTGTTTCTTTTCTACTTCCACAACCTTCCATGGAGTTCCTTCAAAAACTTCTGAGTTAATGTTCATACTATCAATCTGCCTGGAATTTAACCTAATCTGCAAACCACTGCCATGAACTTGATCCATTCACCAAGTATTTGTTGAGCACCTAGTGAGTGCCAAGGACTATTCTACACACAGGAAATACTTCAGTAAACAAGTGAGTATCTATGTCTTTGTAGAATTAACATTCTGGCAAGCGCAGACAGATGACACATAAGAAAATCAGAAAAAAGATAATCAGTGCTACAAAGGACAGAAGCAGGACAGTGTGGCAGAATAACCGTTGACTCCTCTGTGGTGGGTGGTCATGGAAATCTTCCCTTGGTAGCTGAGTTAAATGAATTAAATCAGTTGAAATGACTGATACTAGCATAGTAAGACAAAATCTACATCAAGATGAAGGAAATGAACCAATTCATATAGAAGAAAGGGTCGAAGACAGAAGAGAGCTTATTCCATTCTGTGAACAGAAGTCTGGCTGACCTGGGTGGGCCAGGAACAAAGGGTGGGAAAGGAAATTGGGGTTGGCTTCTTGGGGGCTTTGGATTTTATTATAAGTGCTCTGATAGGTCAGCGAAAAGTTTTAAACAGAAAATGTTATCTGATTTATGTTTCTATTTTTTCTACTTTTAAAAGTCACTCTGGCTTCTATCAGAATGGATTTGGGGAGGGCAAGCGTGGAATCCAGGACTTCCCTGGTGGCTCAAAGGGTAAAGAATTTGCTTGCAAAGAAGGAGACCAGGGTTCGATCCCTGGGTTGGGAAGATCCCCTGGACAAGGGAATGGCTATCCACTCCAGTATTCTTGCCTGGAGAACTGTATGGACAGAGGAGCCTGGTGAGCTACAGTCCATGGGGTCACAAAGAGTTGGACATGACTGAGTGACTAACACACAAACACAGAAGCATGGAAGCAGGTAAACTGGTCAGGCCCAGATCGGGTGCAGTAGTTTGGCTGAGTGATAATGTTGGCTTGGTCAAGGGTGGTAATGGTAGAAACGGGAAGAAGAGGTCACGTTGTGAGTGTTTTGCAGGCAGATTTGACCTTACTTTTAAGGATAGGAGGCATGAGAAAGACAAAATAAACCAAGCAAATCAATCAAGGATGAGTCTTAACCTTTGGCTTGAGCATCTGGGTATCGTTTCCTGATAAAGAACAAAGAGAAGGAAAGCAGGGATGTGTGTGTCACTAGGGAGCACGTCACGTTAAGCATCCAAAAAGATACAGCAGGTAGGTCATGATGTGATGTGGAGTATGAATCACTACTGGAAGATCTCAAAACTGTGTTTTCCAGTCTGCTCTAGAATCTACCTCAGCTCACAACTGCAGTAAGTCCAACACTTCACTGTAGCTGTTTTATGATTTTCAATAGTCTAGAACCAACTTACCTAGGCAATTTTCTTTCCTATGGGAACTTATTTCTAGCCAGGCTAATATTTTCTCTGTGTCTGCCCCTGTCCCCCCCCCCCCCAACACACCCCCTGCAAACCACACACACACACACACACACACACACCCCCAAGCACACAATTGCCTCAGTGCTTCTGTTCACCCCCTTCACCAAACTGTCTCCCCACTGGTCCCACCATCTGATCCTACATCACCCTTCTATCCCCAGTTCCTTCTACCCACACACAATTCCTACCATAGGCAATTCAGTTCATCTCCTCCACTCACTCCTCAGATAATTCCAATCCACTGAACTCTCCCAGTGAATTTCTGTTACCATTGGTGATCACAGTTTAACCACAGAACATAGTGACAGTGAAATAATAAAATCAGAATCAGTAGGATAATAAATACCTGAAACTTAACAGTAATGAGAAAATAATAGCAACTTGTCTATTCCTGTTTCTGGGTACAACTTACTTTCAGTGTGTGTGGGCTCAGTCACGTCCCAACTCTGCGACCCTATGGACTCTGGCCTGACAGCCTCCTCTGTTCATGGAATTTTCCAGGCAAGAGTACTGGAGTGGATTGTCATTTACTACTGCAGGGGCTCTTCCTGACCCGAGAATCAAACCCATGTCTCTTGTGTATCTCCGGCACTGGCAGGCAGCTTCTTTACCACTGCACAACCTGGGAGGCCCTAAAATTTACTTTACAAAGTCGCTCAGTCGTGTCTGACTCCTGTGACCCCATGGACTGCAGCCCGCCAGGCTCCTCCGTCCGTGGGCTTCTCCAGGCAAGAGCACTGGAGTGGGTTGCCATTTCCTTCTCCAGGGGATCTTCCCGACCCAGGGACCGAACCTGGGTCTCCCACATTGCAGGCAGACGCTTTACCCTCTGAGCCACCAGGGGAGCCCAAAATTTACTTTAGCTAACAGTAAATTACATAATCTATAGTTATATAGAGCTTCATAACTGCCAAGGGGCTGTGGTATATATCTTATCATTTGATCCTCACAAGAAAGGCAAGACAGGTATCAGCTCCGTTACCTGACTGAGAAACCAAGGCTCAGAGAACTTAAGTGGCTTGCCTGAGGCCACAGAGCTGGTCATGATGGCTCCAAGGCAAACCAGAAGCATCCTGGCCTTTTCAAATACGCCAGCTGGAAAATACAGTAAGACTGGCAATAAGAACTGATAATGGCCTTTCTTGATCTATAATCTTAACCAAAGTATCAAAAGCTGAGAAAGAAAAATGATTTCTCTTCTGTTGCCATTTTGTTCCCTGTCCCTGTCAGTCTAAGAGTCTAGGGGAAAAGAGAAATAGAATCTTCAGGCAAACCAAGCCAATGGTGAACTCTAGATCCAATTTGAGAAATCAGTCTACTCAGGCATGTACCAAAAGGTCTGACACAGAACCAGAACCATCCCTTCAACTGGACCCAAAGAAATCAGCCACCCCAAGATCTTTTGGCAGGAAAATTAACCACGGTGCTCTTAGGCCACTCCAGCTCGCCCAGGCCACGTGCTCCAGGCTGGGTTGGCGCCAGTCAGCTCCCCGGAGCCAGGAGGAAAGTGGCCAACTTGGAAATTGTATGTGAAGGCAAAGTATTTTGGTTATTACTATGACTGCTTAGAACATCTGGGTCCCCATATTTGTTTGAAGGCCTAAGTTCCCTTTATGCTATTTCTTTCCTCTTTTAAAGATTAACACCAGGAGGCAATATAAGATACCTGTTATATCTCCTCAGGTAAACTTTAAATCTCCTGGAGCTTTTTGTGGAGCCTGTGGCACCTCAGTCAGAATCCTACGTCTTGGCACTCAGTAAACGTACAAGCACGTAAAAATAACAACAGGCCTGACTGACTGCAGAGGTTTACAAAAACAAAGAAAAGGGACAGTACAGCATGTAGTGAAAAACCCCAGGTCAGGACTGACAGTGCTAAACAAACAGAACCAGAAAAGTAAATGTGCCTTTAGAAAAAATTGCCTCGCTAAGAAAGTCAAGATCATATACTCTTTTATGATCTTTTGACAAATCAGGAAACTGGCAGTCAGAGGAAAAGTGAGGATAAAAACACATTTCTCAATTGCTAGGCCTGGTGATTTTTCATTTATAACAAATTGCATGCAGATGGAAACAGGTCCCTTATGATGAACGAAACAGGGCGCATCCCACTTCCTTCACTTCCATTCCAATTTCCTCAAAGCAGTAAGGAAGGAAGGAAGTGAGAAGTGTAACCCCATAACCCACCACAGCCCCAGCCACAGCTTCTATTATTTAAACGCATTCAGTGTGGTCATATCAGTGGCAAACCAGCAAACGCCTTGATTTTGTGCTATCACTATAATAATGATAAGTGTGCTTCCTTAAAACTGTTAAGCTTTCCTATTAAAAGATGTATTTCTTTTTCATCTCTCATTCCACAGCTGCTTGTTTTGAAAATACATTATTCTTTTAAATATATCAATTGAAATATATTCTTTGATGCAATACATAGTAAAAAGAGACACATGAAATTACTGTTGTCATATCGCTGGCTTCTCTGGCTTTAAATAATAATAGAGCACACCCACAGGGTTGGATTAAAAGAAGGAAAATCTGTGAACAGAAACCTAACAGTAGATTCGTGTTGCACATGACCTTAATTCTGGAACCAATCTTCTCTTCTTTAAAAAAAATGCTTTTTATTTTCTAATATATCTGCTTTCAAAAAGAGCTTTATTCCTCTATTAGAATTTATGATGAAATTAAATGACTCCAAAGATGCTAATCAATAAGCATCTAAAACAGAAATTCTTGGTATGAATCAGAATGCTAGTCAGTTTAGATTAAGACACTGACTCTATTACGAGGCAAAATTAAAAATAATTTTCCAACAGGAATCTCAGCATCCTTTCATATTTTCTAGAAACAGTAAAAGGCAAGGTTTTCGAGAAAACAGATATATTGGGTAAATAAAATATATTACTAAAATGAGTATCACCTGTTTATTTTTACTTTTATGAAATGTAGCAACTAGAGAACTTAAAAGTACATATAAGGCTTGCATTGTATTTCACTAGGGCATTGGAAAAGACCCTGATGCTGGTTAGATTGAGAGCAAGAGAAGAAGGGGGCGACAGAGGATGAGATGGTTGGATGGCATCACTGACTCAATGCACATGAGTCTGAGCAAACTCAAGGAGATAGTGGAAGACAGGGAAGCCTGGTGTGCTGCAGTTCATGGGGTCACAAAGAGACAGGACTGAGCGCCTGAACAAGGACAGTACTGGTCTAGACTATTATTTGGCAACATAACCACAGAAAGCTGACTAAACAGACAAACCTCCAAATGTCTCTAAGATTATTTTCCGATAAAATATGAATAAATAGTCTCTTTGAAAAAACATAAAAAATAAGTGCATGCAAAAATCTTAAATGTAGGAACTAGAAAGTAGATGTAACATTAAAACATAATCCAGAAGCATGCTACATTTTTTGAAGCAAGGGCCAGCACTTTTTTTCTTTTTTTAAAAGGCCAGGGGATAAAAAATTTTCCCTTTGTGGCCAGATGGACTTTGTCAAAACTACTCAACTCAACCACTCAGTATGAAAGTCAGCCACAGACAATGTATAACTTTATTTATAAAACCAGGCCACCTGAATTCAGTTCTCAGACTGCAGTTTGCCAACTCCTGTTACAAAATAAAACCCCATGAATTCAACTTTCATAACCTTAAAATACATTGTAAACTAACCAGGTTTGTTTTAAACAATAACAGTAAAAAACAAGGAAAGTTCAAATCAACTGGAGAAGACCAAGAATGCCTCATTTGAAAGAAAGATGGAATTCATGCAAGTGAGACAGAAATGATGAGAAAAATAAGAAATAATTTTGTCTCTGGAAACAATTCACATAATGTCACAGAAAACAAAAACAAAACCCACTTACATTTAACTCTATTATCCACAGTAATGTTACAAATAAGAGGTCAAAGGTGACAAACAAACAGAAAGTCCTCCTGACATCAGATATGCCTTTCTTCTCCCTTCCTTCATAGGACTCGATCCTGGCCATGAGCTGCGTGGGGTTGATGGAGTGGATGTCGCGCACAGAAGCGTGTGAGCTCTGACTCCCCGTGAGAATATTCTCCATGTCTTCTGGCAGGGGGTTCATCCTGCAGGAGGGTTAAAGGAGCCTCTCTCCAACTTCACCATCCCTCGAGGGAAGAGATCTTTGGGGAACGGAAGAGAGACACCACATTAAATCAGAGCCCACCTGATACTGCAGTGTGACCCCCATCCCCGTGCAACAGTCCATCTCTCTGAGCATCAGGGTGTCTGAACTGAAGACATTTTTGTCCTGATGAAGACACAGTGAGAAAGTGAAACGAGAAGCAATTCTTGATGTTATCCATCGATACTCCTCCAAAAAAAACTATTACGGAAAAGACTGTCAGTAAAAAAGAATACAAATTTTCAGTAAATGGTAAAGACAGGTTGTTAACCACAACAAAAAAAATGTGCCTGGAACCTGGAACATGTCTCTGGGTGAACAAGCCAAGGCAGCTTTCTTGCTGCGCCAGGCAGAAAACTTCTACAATTCTGTCAGTGTCATTCCCTGTGGACCAGGAAACATTTACGGAACAGCCTCACTGAGAGCACGTAACTAAAACACGTAAATCAGCTATGATTTACGTTCCTCCTATAGAGGAACTGCTTTCCACCACAGGTATCTAATAAACCAAATTTGCATTTCCATTACCTGTTAATGAATAAGTATGTTTCCGTGCCTCTCCTTAGAAAAGAACTATGCCCACCCTAAGAAGTTTACCATATACAAACACCCCACTGATAACTGCAACAATCACTGTCCCATATGGAGGATCCCGCCCCTCAAGGCCAGCACATGCTTCTAAAATAAAAGACTGGCAATCTGAATGATCTGATTTCCCCAAGGATGGGGCAAAGTCAACAAATAGGGAATATTACAATGGATGGTATTTTTCGTTGCTAAGTATTCTGGTTTCCCTCCCTACATTACCGCTTCCTGAGGGAGGACTACACACCCCTGGTTCTGCTGAATTTCGTGCCTTTCTCTGGCCGTGTAACGAGTGTCACTTACATCCAGATCTCAACCAGCGCAAGGCTCCCATGCTCTCCTTTCTGCCACAGTGGGGTGACCGGCAAAGTCCAGAGAAAGAAGAACATTTTTCAGCTGGGCAAAATACCACTTCCAAACATTTGCTGGAATTTCCCTAAAGTGAAAAGGTTTCATTTGGTCCTATGTCTTTACACTTGGCTTTTCATTTCTCTCCTTTCCCACACTCAGGGACAAAAGTGCTTCCCACATTTTCATACAGTGTAGTGATTCAATGACATAACATTTTTGAAAGCAATTTGGTTATATGAACTATGATGCTTTAAAATATTTGTATTTCTTGATCCTGTAACCCTACTTCTGGTAATCTAAAGGAACTTAACTGTAGACCTTCAAGGCAAAAGTTGATCTGTGTCATTAGACACTGGGTCAGTGATTACTCCCAAGCAAAAGGAAGGAAAAAGTGACTAGAGGGCACAAGCGTGGTCTTGGCCTGAGTAGTGCTAATAGGGCTGTACTTGTTTTTTTAATAATTTATTCTCGTATCAATGGCTCAAATCTACTAAAGTGTACAGAAAATCTAAAGAATTCACAATTAAAATAGAGGACTGCTTTTAGGAAGAAAACCATTTGCAAGGTAATTAGATCATTTTCTTAGTCTTACTCATTCTCCTTTCTCCTGATCAATTTAAAAGGACAGCAAACACCAATAGCCGAGAAATCTGAGGCTGTTTCCAACTAAAAACTGACAGCATGCAACGCTGTATATCTGACTTGGGAAATAAGAATCATTACCTTATTTTTCACATGTGTGTTTATATAACTGCTAATTAGCTAGAATGTTTAGATGCTATTTGCAATGGCTTTAATAGTAAAGTTACCCATGGCACAGACTGCTCTGAGCAGCTTGACTCTTATCAGATGGACCTCTGTCTGGGACAGACTGAAATTTTAAAAGGGAGCGAAAGCTTCCTTTTAATGAGTAAAGTGGAAGATATCTCTAAAGCCTCTTTTCTGCTCTACAACTGCAGGACTTCACCTTAACCATGTCTTTCAGAAAGATTCGGTTCAAGTGACAGTTCCTTCAGGAAGACTTTCCTGAAATGCTCCCCACATTCCTATCCCCAGGCAAGGCCAAGTACATCTCCTCCAAGCTCCCTCAAGCTTGTGGATATGCCACTTACGATAATGCTTACCACACTGTGCCTTAATTACCCACTTAGCTCGCCCATCTCTCCTGCTAGCTGGAGTGTTCCTTGAAGGCCTTGAATTTGATTTGCACACCCTTGTGTCCTCAGGGACCACCTCAGCACACAGCATGCAGCAGAAACAAAACAGATATTGACTGGATAAATCCTGCCTAGCATCTAGCCCACACAGTAATGCAGAGTGGGCTCTTGGAAACCTCTACTGCTCATTTTTGAGGAAGAGCTTGGATATTTTCCCAGATACAGTGCAGAAAGTATCAAACACCCAGTTCTTGTACTGAGTCCTCTCCGGAGTTGGCTTGGGGAAAGCTATGCCTCTCTAAAGAGGTGTTAAGTACTGATCAGCTGTATATATGGGGGCCTGAATCTACAAAGCAGGGTTTATTCCAATGATGGAAGGAGCATGGGAGAGGGGGCAGGTGAGGAGGAGCTGAGTGGAGGGTTATAAAATAAAGAAAAACATCACCTTATTTTCCTCTAGAATTTGTGTGGGGAGATGGGAATCCTCTTTTGTTGTTTTGGTTTTTGAAAAAAGAGATTCCTATCTTAACTGTCTTATCTGGATAGGTAAGGCTCCTCCTCTGTGTTGGCTATTTTGACAGTCAAGCTGTGTTCATAAACCACTCCCAAATTCTGAGGCTTAAAACAATCTACATTTACTCCCAAGTTCATGGGTCTAGTTCAGTTCAGCTGGTCTAGTCTGAGCCCAGCTGGCAACTCTGCTTCAGGAGATGCACAGAAGAGCTTGGCTTCAAACCGTGTGTTGGGTCTAAGTCTGTCTTAGACTGTCCTGTCTGTCTTTCCCCTTAGTCCAAGACGACCTGGGGCACGTTCTCTTCATGGCAAATGCCAAGAGCACAGGAGACAAGCTCAGCTATGTGAGCACAGTGGAATCTCTGTACACATCGTGTTTGCTCATATTCTACTGGTTAAAGCCCAAAGGGCACGGAGCTGAGATGTATACACTCCATCCAAAGAGGAGAAGGTAAGTATTTGCTGACAAATATTCCAATCTATCATATCTGTCAATGTTCTAAACTAGGAGTCAACAAACTATAGCCTGTAGGTCAAATGCAGCAGGCTACTTGTTTCTGAATGCTGAGGTTTTATTAGAATACCACCACACCCATTCCTGTGGTTGGTATCGATTGCTATGGATACTTTCACATGAAGAGAGCGGAAGGGAATAGTCACAACCGAGATTATATGGTTCACAAAGCCTAAAATACTTCCTTCATTATTTGTAATTTTCTAAAAAGGGGGACTGCTGCTTCCATCACCTTCTCAAAGGGGAGCTAGCTGAAATTTAGAGTTACCGTGCTGTAATCAGCAAAAAGTAGGCTAATTGATGAATATTAATTTTTCCAATGCATGCTCTGATTCTTCAATGAGGAAAAACTTGTAATTCCTTCTCCTCTTTATTTTTCCATAGGTGGCCCTTGTGACACAGCACAGCTCAGGCACGGGTGGTCCTGTCTCATGCTGGCTTACCTGAGGGCCACTTCAGCAGTACTTTTAGCCCAACACACGGCTCTCTGCCTTATTCTATTCCCTTAATCCCACACTACTAGAGCTGGAGAAAAATGCTGTCCCATCGATACTGATAGCTTCCTAAACAATAATATGCTTCACAAACCTGGAGAAAAACAAAAATCTGAGATCCTTTTGCTTCCAGAAAGAAGAGCTTACCTCTTCGAGCTGCTATATTTTTGAGATGGCCCCAGGCTGGCTGTAAAACTGGTTGGCCAAAACTTCAGCTCCATCTGCTTTGACACAGAATTGATACACTACCCAGATGGTAAACAGCAGCTGTTCTGGGGCAGTAGCCACCACAGCAAGCATTTTACACAAGTCCCACAGTCTCCTGGGAGAAGTGGAAAGGGCCTCTGGGCACCTCCTGGTGGCAGTCAAATCAAGTCTCTCAACCCAGGCTCCCAGCCTTCTTCCCTGTATTACTTCTGGCCATAGAGAGACACAGCAAGACACCGTATGTTCTACTCCGAGAGAGAATGTGAGAATAACAGACACTAAAAACACTTAACTCAGCAAGACCTTAGTCATCAACTTATTCAGAAGCATGGGGAGCAGATTTGGCTTACAGACATGTTTTGCTTGGTCTTGTACAGGATTTCTAAAGATTTTGAACTAATTGCTAACATTTTAAATAATGATCTTTCAAGTAAAATTCCAGATGTCTAGCTTCTCTGGAAAAGTTAGACACAGAATGGCCAGGCCTGCATTCCCTTACCATGAGAACAAAGCCAAGAAACTGCTGAGCTCTTCAGATGGAGCCCACACTCTCCACTTGGCCTCAGCCTCGACCTTGCCTGGGGGCATCCGAGTCCACCACTCTGATCTACTCCCCCTCCCCTGTTTGACAGGCAGAGAGTCCTACAACTGAAGGCTGTGTCTCAAGGTGCAATTTCAAAGCTTTCTTCATGCTTGTTATTGAAATTATTCTTGCCTAGAAAGGTTTGCTTACAGACGAAGAAAACAAAAAAGTAGCAGCTGAGGCCTACGTGGATTATGAGGGTTTGCCCATCTGAAAGACATCTCAAGACAGATTTGAGGATGAAGACGTGGGTCTGCCACTTCCTTCCTCTGTCAAATTCCTGGAAGGAAACAAGAGGGACATAAGAAGGTGTTTCAACAGCCCTTGGGATAGTCACAGGGCTTGTCCCTAAAGACATGAGCTGCCTCAGGGGTGCCCACTCTATCCCATGACTTGGTTTCTCAGGGGGCAGGAAGCACCTCGAGTTGGCTCTCCTCTTGCAAGGCCCACCATGTGTTATGAGACCTGGTACATGATGGTTTTTTTAAAGTCCTATTTAGAGCCGACAGTTTCCAAAATGAAATAGCTAGAAGTGG